TCAGAATTAGTTGGAATTACAAATCTAGCAGAGTAATTATTATTGTCATTATTTGTCATGGTTATATGTAATATATGTAATAGTTATACCCTGCTACACAGGGAATAACTATTACATATTCCCAGCCACTTGAAGTCCAATAATACCAAACTCTATTTTATCGGGTTTACGGGTCTTACGAGCCCAGTACATTCCATCATTGGTTTGTCGCCATAACTTTATCCTATCATTAATTTTTTTTCTTTCAGTACAAATCAAACTTGAGCATTCAGTGTACATTAACTAATAAATCCTATCTCCGGATTTGATTTTGAACATCGTATCAGGTCTTCTCCCCAATTTATCTTCTCTTTTCCTATCTGCACGCGCTACACACTGGCGTTCCGAGCTGAAGAAAAATATAATTATTACAATTTTTTCTTTATAAAAAATAATCAACAATTCAAAACTTACGTGCTAATAAATGAAGACTTGCTAAAGGGATGTTTTTTAGCGAGGCCCTAATTGCAGGAACTATAAAATTTGTTACATATGTACCCTCATTAAGCATTCCCACGAACTCAGAGCCAAAAGCCGAGTTATTCCACGAATATCTCAGAGAATTGAGGATATCTATTGCAAATTCTGCAAGAACTTTCTCCGATTATACCCAGGACCATTGTGTGCCAATTTATCAAGCAAAAATTCCGTTTAACCTTTGACAAAACTTAATATAAATTCTTCACATATTTTTTCTACCGCTGATGGGAAGAGATAGGCATTATCCAACGAGCTGGTTTCTATAGCTAATTGGTTAAATAATGCGTTCGTGTACGTCTTTAAAAAAAAGTAAAATACTCACCATAAAATTGTTATATAAATTTTTTGGTAGCTTCCGTATTATTTCCAAGTCGTCACTAATGACTTTACTTCCAAGTGGACAATTCAGAAATAGATATGTTAACTAAATCTTTAAATAAACGTTTATAGAGAGGCGATTTCCCCTCTCAGATATTTTTCTGGATGAGCGATATTTGAGTTAACTCAAATGTAAATCAAACACAAACCAAATATCTATAAAAACTTACCGCAAGTGTCGATTTTAGATCTGTAAAGTTAGTCTCAATTTCCTTTAAACTGTAAGCTTTTTCTTTTCCCTTTATATGAAAAATTAGCATATTTTGAAAGATTAGTTAATATCATAGCGAGAAGCAAAACATACCATTTTTACTGCTCCAATATCTCGTAAATTGCAGACCCCTTTGAAAGCATCATCAAACTAGTGCAAAAGTACTATGGGTTAGATCATGATCCCTATTACAAATTTGTATTTTTGACCATTATGCAATCTATCAAATAGTTACAAAGTTGCATCATGTGGTCATCACGCAAAACGGTCTTTGTATAATATTAAAATAACAACATAGAAGCTTGCATGTAAATACAGTTTAATCACCCTTCCACGTTTCCAATGATTATACCCTACTCACGGGCTATGGGACAACTAAACTGTTATGTTTGCCTCCTCAGAGTTATACAGTATTTGCACCATTCATCATTCCAGTACCAATGACCATTATTTCAAAAAAAGCTTAATAACTAACCTGGGCGAGAATCTTTAAAAGTTTATTTGTTGCCGATATATTTTGTGAATATATATTGGTTGAAGAATTAATGGCATTTTTCACTATTGTTCTTGATTTTTCTTTGAAATCCAGGGTTCCTCCTCTATAACTTGATAAATAACGGAGACTGCAGTTATATGATTCAAGGGAGAATTTGTGAGAAAATCATAAACCTTTGTGTATAATTCAGTAGGCATCTTTTATATACTTGGTTTAAAGAATAAAATGAATATAGTTAATGATAACAGAATTGCTATAAAAGCAATGAATATTTATCATTTGAAATACTGCCACTTTTAAACGTTTTTCTTCCACGCCTTCTTCTTATTGAATGAATAATGTAGGAGATAAAGCAATGCAAATGTGTATTCACACCAAGAATTCCTCTCACAAAGAAAATGAATATACATGAATGCTAATTAATCGAATTTGGTTAATCGCACAAATAAACATGACTCAATAGGCACATTTGATTATAAACATTCTTGATGTCATTACAGTCATTCTTGCATTCCTTGTGTAAATAAGGCTAATATGACTTGCAATATCCGATGATTGATGATGATGTAATTGAATTCCAGGGGGATATTGCTCTGCTCTGTAATTTATCAAGATTGCATCATTTCAAAGGCACACTGTGCAGATCCAACCTATTATTTGTAATGACCTCAACAAGTTGCAACTAGTTAGTTGTAATGTTGGGGAATTTTGCAATTCAGTTGGGGAAGCTTTTGTATGTCTTTGAAAAAAGCCTTCTGATGTGTCACCGGACTTTATTCTGTGAAGCTACCTTCACATTGTAAGGGGTAGGTGCAAGCTTGTGATAGGATAATTTATTAAATTTGACACTTGTGATCATCATCAGATTTATTATTTGTAAGGTACTATATGAGACAGGGAATTTTCTTTTTGATCCTCCAGTCAACCTGGTCCAATGGAGGAGTAGACTCATTTGTTTTTTTTTGTATTTACCCAGCAACCTGGGTAAATACACATATTTTTTTGAAATTGGATTCTTTAAAAAAAGAGGTTTCATTGCTTATTACCTGGATGATGCAATTGTTTTTTATTTCAATGATAACATCAAAGTTATCATCATGAATATATAATGGATGCATGTATTCACATATATGGGGAAAGGATTAAATAACAACAAAAGGCTAAGTCATTTTTATAATTAATTATATTTATTTATTCCACCCTTGCAATGAATGGTGATATTAATCTGAAATCACTTGTTTATTTAGCATTAATGATTAAATGGTAGTCAATTTAAATAGCATTCATGATTTTAAATGTGCAAAAATTTTTTTAAAAGATGTTTTTTTTTGGTAAATGTAAAATCTATGAAAATTTTGCACATAATTTTTTTACAGGGACTAGAAGACTACAAACTGATTTGTGAATGAATTGGTCACTGTTGATTAAGGCTCCAAATGAATCAATTGAAATTGAACTGATTCAATTTGAACCTACTTGGATATATAATTTGATTCAAACTGACTGATTTGAATATATATATAATTGATTTGAATCTATATAATGAATGATTTTATTTGATTCAAATTAGGGCTGGATAAATGACTTGATTCAAATTCACTATATACAGTATATACTTGCATCTTTTAAAATGCCTTTCCACCAATAATTAAGCCACACATGGTACCTAATTGTATCTACAGACAAACTGCATCTAGTTGATGTAATTAAACCAGTACCACCAGAGAAAATCCTTTCAACTGGGATGCTAGATGCTGAAATAGCAAGATAATTCCTTGCCATTTTGCTAGATGAGGATATTCTAGTTTATAAATTTAATTTTACCCTTATATTAGCTGGGAGACAAAAAACTTTACCTTGTGAAAACTTTAAGGTTTTTTAAAGTATTATTAATTTTACTTATAACTTAGCCAGTAACTTTTGAGAATTTTTTATATAAACTTTACCTAGCCCACATCCAATATAATCCTGTTAAGTATGACAAGTAAACCTCAGTGTTAAAAATATTCCTGCTTGATAATCTGCGGTGTATTTCAACTTTTATTTATTGTAACCTTCTAAACTTTTCTTTAAAAAGGTTGCAATAACCACTTTTTTATTAAAATGATTTATTTTAAATGTTTACACATTAATATATTTTACAAGAAATAAAATCTGGCTAATAATAAATTTGGGGGGTGTTAGAATTGTGAATTTTGATAAATTAAAAAATAATCCTAATAGAGTTAACATCACTAACATTGTTAAAAATAGAATAGAGTGTTAGGATAAGATGAGGTGTTAGGATAAGATATGGTAATAGGATAAGATGGAGTATTAGGATAAGATGAAATTTTTCTGTGTTTAAGTTGTTCATCACTGGGCATTTTTATGATTTCACTTGGGATTGTATTTTTTTTCTTTTGATATCTTACAATGAATGTTGCCATCACAATGAATGTTACTCCAACAACAATTGCAACTACTATTGCTACTATGTAAACAGTGTTTAATGGTATTGATATTTCTGTTTGTGATGTTGTTGGTGTTGTTGATGTTGTTGATGTTGGTGTTGTTGATGTTGTTGATGTTGTTGATGTTGTTGTTGTTGATGTTGTTGATGTTGTTGTTGTTATATTTGCCGTATAACTTGCTTTCCAACTAAAATCTTTAACATCAAGTATATAAGTGTTTGCACTAGATGAATTTGGTTTTGAAACATTATTTGTAATTCTTCCTATATATATATGAATGTACTTGTTAATTAATTATTAAAGTTGAAAAAAAAAGAAAATTTTTTAAAAATCTACCAAAACTTATTATCATTTGATCTCCGATTAAATTAGCCGTATGCAATCTTAGAGATGGAGCACGATTGACATGTGAAAATTCAGGTACAGACCATTGAAAAGGATTTGTAGTTGTACCCAAGACAATAATTTCAGGGAACGATGTAAGATATGAATCTCTACAACCACCATAAACAATTATCCTTCCATCATTTGCTATACGATATTTATATTATTTATATACATAACTTTAGTATGATATTTTTTTCAAAAAAAAAATCAAAAAAAAATAAAAAATATGATTACAGAGTACAGCTGAATGACCAAATCGAGGTTGGATAGATGATGGACCATTTGCTGTCTAAAAATTTCATCAAGGTGTAATTTAGGCCAAATAGTAAATTTCACATTTTAATTGACAATATTTACCATAGTTGTCCAAGTTAAACTATTCGTATCATAAATTTTTATCTATAAAATAATTTAAAATTAAAAAAAACTTCCGAAATTATATAATTAAAATTTCCATCTAAATACAATATATATATAAATGCATACCTTATAAATGTCAGCTTCATAAATATATTTACCTGTAGTATCGCTTGTCTCTTTTCCACCAATAATTACAACTCTATTATCAGGCAATAAGGTTGAAGTATGATGAAAAATTGGTAATGGTGGATTGATTGCAGAGACTAGACCCCAAGTCATATCTGCTGTATTCAATGTGTATACGTCGCTAAAATAGTGTTCAGTAGTAGATCCGGTACGATTATCTGTTGCTCCGCCAAAAATATACAATTTTCCTTTATCATCCACCACAATACTAGATGCCCAACGATTGGTAGGAGTAACACCGGTTGTTATTGAAGGACTCCAAACTTTTTTATTTACATCATATTCATAAAGCAAATTGGTGTAATTCAAAGAATCAAAAGCCGGATTGACCATAAATCCACCAAATAAGAATATTGTAGATTTGTTTTTTCCACCAACTGCACCTACACTCAAAGCAGTTCTTACAGGTATTTTGTCACTATCTACCCATGGTACATTTTTAGCATCAAAATCTTTGATCAAATCTACATAAAATAATGCATCTGTTGAAGCTTCTATTCCTCTACTATAACCTCCAAGAACATAAATTTTATTATCTACCACTACGCTAATAGCTGTAGAACGTGATATACTAGAATCTGAGAATACTTTAGTTAGTATAAATATCACGATAAATATTAAATGAAGTTTGATATTCCTGAAATTTAAACTCATTGATTGTTATTCTTTATCAATTAATACTATTTATTTTTGCTATATAATTTATTGCGAAGAGTTATAAATAATCAATTTTTTCTTGATGTACAAAAAAAGCAATCCTTCGTGATTCGATTTTTTTCAATTAAAGACCGATATAGGAATACAACACCACATTTGTTTGTTTGTTTGTTTGTTTGTTTGTTTGTTTGTTTGTTTATTATTATTATTTATTATTTATGTTACAACTTTTTGAATACTTTGCAGGAAAATATATTGATAGAAGAGAAATATTCCTTTAATTAGAAATTAGAACAGGAATTTTAAAGAGAAGCTCTTTCTAGATAGAACTTTGAGTTATCTTTAATGCTGAGCATTGAGTAACATCGAAACTATTCTTCTTTTCTTATTTAGGATGCATTATTCTCATAATAAGAATGTAATAATTAGCTTCCTTTTCGCAGATACAGAAATCGTATAATGAAAACATACATTCACTCCTTGGACAAAAGTATCCGGACACCTATTTTTACTAATTATACAAAAACACGCATAATAACTACACATAAAATTTTATCAAAATGTAGCTTAGGTTTTGATGAATATGCATGTAAACTTTGATACTCTTAA